ATCCATGAAGAACAACCTTTTACTCTCGTAACTAACCGTAAACAAGCGAAAAGAAGACTTAGTCAAACTGAAGAAACCAGCGATATAGAAACACAAAACACAGTAAAGGGAAAAGAAAAAGAAAAAAGGGAATTATCAGACAATGAAGATATCAACTCAATCTATTCTGATGGAAGTGAAGAATCTATACATGCAGAATGGAGGAAAAATGCTGGTCTTAAACGATATAGAGCAAGAGCTCCGATATCCAAATTCGTCGGAAAAAATATTGGTCAAAAATTAGCTTGGCTCGCACAAGAACTAAGGGAAAAAGTAGAATATACCTTTATTAAAGTCGAACTAAAGAAAAAAACAAGTGAAAGTTGTATCGCAATTTACTTCAACAAAAAAGAAGAATTAAAAAAGGCTCTTGACCTTGAATTTCAAAATGATAACAAAGAAATATTCAAATTAGAAGAAAAAGTACTCAATAGACAAACAAAAAATAAGGAGTACATGCATAAACGAGTTATTATCTGGGATTTACCTGTAAACATAAAAAAACAGGAATTGAGGGCTGAAATAGAGCACAGATATGGTAAAGTGGAGTCAATCGTTACAAATCTGGCAGATATGTGGCAAAAAGCACATGTTACATTTGTAGAACAAGAAGATGCAGATAATTTCCTTAAATCCTGGTCACAAATCATTGGAGAAGAAGTAGTTAGAGTTACACCACCAGGGTTCACTGCAGAACAACTAAAAAACAGGGGTGAACATGCAGTAAGGGTAATTGGCATTCCTCCTGGGATGACCCCAGCAGAATTATACAATGGACTGAATCAAATTGGAGCACAAACCTGTTACGTTCCTCGTAATACCTTCTATGCTCGTAAAAGGATGGCTATAGTAGCATTCGAATCTGAAGAAATAAAAAATCATGCGATAGGACATACATGGACCACAGATAATTTCACAATTAATTTGTTAGATATTAAAATTAAAACATGCCGACGTTGTCACGACCCTGGACACTTGGTTAAAGAATGTCCCATTACACTCCGCACTTCAGCACAGACACAGAAACTACAAGAAAGAATGGATAAATTTGGTAATGTATGGAAACGACACAATCGAACAGCTTTTAACAGAATTCAAAAGAAACTCGACCCGTCTTATGCCGGAGTATTAAAATCGAACCAAACAACAAAGGATTTCATATATCAACAGCAACAACAAGAAGAACATAACTCATTTAATAATAATAATAATAATAACTCTCTTAGTACGTTATCTAAACAAATGACAGAATTACAAACACAGATGTCTCACGCAATAGAGATACTTAACAATTTGACACAAAGAATTACAAAAGTAGAAAAATATCTCAATCTAGAAGAAACTAACACCAGACAAAATAACGATGAATTAGACAATCAAGATCAAATGGAGCAAGACAACGACACTGCAAATACCTCCTATTCTGATACTAACAACAATAATAATGACAATAATAAAAATAATAAAAGTTATAATAATAATCAGAACGACAATACTCAAATGATGAATATGCTAACTAGAATGGCAGGACAAGTCACCACATTGACACAAGGTATTGAACAAATTTCAACCCGTCAAAATAACATCGATAGAAAATTTGGAAGTTCATCAGCTTCTCAATAGTTTCCTTTCTTAAAAACAATATTATAATGATGATTGAACAAAATGAATCATTATCAACTATAAATTCTAATATAACAATAGATAGTGAGGATACCTATAATAATAATAATAATAATAACAACAATAATTCGCTTTCTTATAATAATAATAATAATAATAACAATAATAATAACTTAAATGCAAATAAAAATAATAATAATAATAATAATTATGTGACAAACTCACATCTTCATTTAAATTGGGTGATAGGCACACAAAATGTCAGAGGAATAAATGACAACTTAAAACAAAATATGTGGTGGGAATTTTGTGAGAAAAAAACCCTTGATATAGTCTTATTAACAGAAACAAAAACAACGAAAGACTCTGAGAAAAATATATTTATCGATCAAGTTCTGCTAGCAAAAAAGAGATCACAAGACCCAGTATATAAAACATGGTGGTCATCTGTATTAGAAGCAAATAACAATAATATGGGTTCAGGATTAGGCCTAATGATTAAAACGCAGCTCGCTCAACACGTATACAAAGTAAACAAATTCCCAGGTCATGGAATTAGTATTTTACTATCTTTCAAAAGGAAGATAGTGTTTCAGATAGTTGGTATTTACGTACCTAATCAATACTCGAACAATAATAACACAATCGCCCCTCTAAGAACATGGTTACACAATCAAATTTCCCAAGCATTATCAAATAATTGGATCTCAATATTATTAGGAGATTGGAATGCAGTATCCAATCCTAAAATAGACCGCTTTCCAGAAAGAAAACAAACCTCACCAGAAGGAAGTATTTTACAATCGATCATATATAATGGATATATTGATACCTATAGATTTATTAATGGAGATAAACAAGAATATTCATATCACCAATACCATAACAATGTCCTTAGAAGTCAAAGCAGAATCGACTCAATATGGGTACATGACGTCAATAAAAATATAATAATGAATGCAAAAATTGAAGATACGTCTCTAATCATTAAAAGTGACCACTTATGTGTGACTATGAAAATAAATGTACAGAAATACTGTGACAAAGACAACTTTGCGAAATATAAAAAGATGAATTATCGAGTACCGCGACTATGGAATTTAAAGATGGCCGACAAGGAAAATTGGGAACAATTTACAACACAAGTAGAGCAAGCATCTAGACAATATCTTCTATCACATAATGATAATAATAGTACAGTAGAATCAATATGGCAATCACTTAAATCGATATTGATTACAGCAGGCAACAAAAATTTACCCAAAGCTAAAGAGCCAAAAAACCGTACAAATGTTATATGGTGCAAACATCCAAGTTATCCTTTATTAAATCTAGCAAATAAATTATATAAATTGGGAAGAAAGCTAAAAGATAACAAAAACTTAAATAAATCAAATCAATCCTTTAGTTCGATTTCTAAAATAATTTCAAAACTAGCTATTACATATAATGTGAATATAGATCCATATCCTTCAAATGATGATGAATTAAATCAAGAAAGATGGATAGAAAATATAAAACAATGGTGGACCATTACCAGAAAGATTGTCAAACGAGATCTTATAAGGGAAAAACAACGTGAAATCAAACAGAAAATCGAAGTGAGACAAACTATGCTGAATACAAAACCAAAATCTATGATAGATCGAGTTTTAAATCGAGAATCAAGACAAATTGTCCTGAACAGGATTATACAAAACCAAAATGATAATACCGTCACAATAATTACTGACCCTGAACAAATAAAAAGTTGCGTACAAGAACATCTTTACCAGTGGACGGAAGGCACTGAAATTACCAACACTGCGCTAAACCAAAGATGGGCACAACAGTATAAACCCATAACAGATATCAAAGATACTATCTATAACTCACTAATAGCAACAATTTATGAGGATGAAGTCGCTAAAATCATTAAACTTATGAGTAATAATAAAGCTCCAGGGCCATCGTTAATACCTTATGAGGTATTTAAACATCTAGAAGAGAATAGCATCAAATTACTTTGTTTACTTTTTAACAAAATAATAGAATCTGGAATAGTCCCAAATGACTGGATAAACAGTAATATAACATTAATACCCAAACCTAAAGATTGGGAAGGGAACTTAGAAATCACACGACCAATTACGCTCATGGAAACCGCAAGGAAAATCTTTACAAAAATAGTCACAATAAGACTATCAGATATATTAGTTGAAAACAAAATATTAACAGGAAATAACTACGCTGGTCTCCCGGGAGGAAGAACATCATATCCAATACACATTATTAATAATGTACTAGAAGATGCAAAAGAAGACAATAAAGAGCTCTGGCTTTTATTCCAAGACATACGAAGGGCTTTCGATTCGGTCGATGCAAATATGATGAGCCTAGCACTAAAACGACTCAAGATTCCAACAATTATTATAAACATAATCAATTTTATAGAAGAAAATCGTACTGGACAAGGAATAACAGAATACGGATTAACAGAACCATATAGAATACTCAAAGGGGTAGACCAAGGAGACTCAATCTCACCACTTTTATGGTGTATTTTTTATGACCCTTTATTAGCTGAAGTTGAATCCATAAATAAAGGTTATAATATGGAACTCAAATGGAGAATGGACATGACCCTACAAGAACAAGTATACGAAACACGAAACATATCATC